GGGGATTTCCCCCCGGACGGGGATTTGAATCCCCAAAAGCCGGACATGTCCGGGAAAATCCGGACGTATGGTAACCCTACAAATCAATAAATTACCCACTTTAACCCTCTCTCTCACCAACATCCATATGCATAGTATTAAACATTAACTTTACAAACCTAAGACAGGAAACAAGCTTCATACCACAACATAAATGTTAAAGCTACCTATAAATAACTAGGTTGCACACCTAGTTTTCCTTGGAAAATAGAGAAGGTACAGTAGTTTCCCTTAACTGCTTCCATTTTCTCCCCTTCTGCTGGCTAACTTTACATTTGCTTACAAGTTTAATATCATTTTGAAGCCAGCTTTTCCTCCATTCAATTTCTTTTTGTGCTTCATACTATTCCATGAATGCTGTGTCTCAGTCTCACTGTTCAGGAAAGGCTTAATGTTTCAGGGTCTCTCACTCCCCCACCCGCCCTTTTCATCTCCTCTCCCTCTCCCCACATGATTTCTGCCTTAAAAACAGCTTAACATAAATATAAGAATGGCCATATTGGGTCTGTCCATCTAGCCCAGTATCCTGTTTTCCGACAGAAGCCAATGCCAGATGCTTCAGGGGAAAATGAACAGGACAATTACCAATTGATCCATGCCATGCTATCCAGTCCCATCTTATTGCTGAGTGGAGGGGATTGCAATATCATTTCATCCCTTTTTCAATGTGCAATGTGCAGTGATTGCAAATGGTAATGAGTCCTACCCCACTCTCTTCAATTATTTTGGGCCAGATTGTGATAATTTATACTCCGTGTGAGAGAGGCTATTTTATATGAAGTCCCATTGAGGCCAATGGGACTATTTTCAGGGTAAAGTACTACCAAACGTGAATAAAGGTATCACAATTTAGCCTTATATGGCTATATCCCTCATCATCTACTTTTATTCGTGATAACAACAGAACAGGATTTGACTCAGGTGGAAAAATATGACTCCTGAGGTTACAGGAAAACCCTGAAATGATGCCATTCAATAAATCTGAATTTTGCAAGAGAGCTGCAATACTGTGGATGTACATCTAATCATATGGCTCCTGGGACTGAGAAGGAGCAGCACTACTTCTAAATTCACTGAACTGCAACTAGTGGATGGGTTTTGTTTTTATTTAAAAAAAAAAAAAAAAAAAAAAAGAAAATGGCTCCTATATTATAGGAAAATTTTAACAGATGTTGAAACTGGGTCTAGGATAACACTTTTAGGAGAAGATGGAAATGTCTATATTTATTTATGAATTAATTCTAGCCATCAGCCCAAGCTGTTGTGCATTCTGACCACTAGATGTGCCAAGAATAATTTTGGCCTTATCTTCTGACTTTAATCCTAAATTTTTCTGAAGTGTAGATATTCCCCAACCACATTTTGCAAGCATGTAAGTCTTCTTACTAGTGAAAACACAATCTGGGTTTTGTTTATTTTAAGGTTAACAGTACAGTTTACTTATATATTCTCATTTTCAGGTACTGCCTCTTCTTTTTGAGAGTGTAGGCATATTCTGCCAATGACTGCAGCAGTCAGAGTAAAGGTGCTAGCAATGTATAATACTTCTGAAATATTCTCAATTATTAACAGATTCCTCCTCCTCTAGCTCAGGGAAGATGAGGGATCCAAAATTCTGGAGGCTGAGGAGAGGGTAAAGAGATCCCTACGGCTGATTAAGGCAGTGATTATGGTAAGTAATTAGAACAGAGATGCAAGTCTGAATAGATGAATAGCAGCAGAAAAGGTAGGAGAGCAGGAGACAGAAATGCAGATGAGGAACAGGAATTCCCAAGGCTGGATTAAGTGCCTCTCTGAACCCTCTTCTACAGAGAGAGGGAAGTACCTTTTATTTAGTGAATAAGATCCAACTTACATTTTCATAGATGTTTACTGAAATAACATCTAGTTACTAGTCATCATGGACACTCCTGTTTGGAGGATCATGCAAGAATTAGATTGCTTGAAACGCTCAAATACACCAGACTTGGTCTTTGTTGCATTTTCTTTCCTCCTCTTGTACTCATTTTAGTTGTTACCCTGGGGGAGTTGGCTATGTGATGAATGGCAAACCCCATTATATCTGAAAGCTACTGTTCAGCAGTGGTTGAGGCACTTGTCATACAGACTGACAAGTCTGAAAACTACTTCATGTTGACCTCATATCTAGCTCAAACCATAAAATTCAAACCAAGAAAGTATATTCAGTAAACCAGATTAAACTACTTTACACACAGACTTGGCATCCAGGAGTCATTTTAATATCACAGCCTAGGGCAGTGGTAGAAAGATAGCATCCATGCTAGAAAAGTATTCAGTTTTCCAAATCATCCACAGTATTGAACAATAGCCCATAGCTGTCTTTGTTTTCACAGATGCTATATGGCTATGTCCGCACTATGAGCTAGGGATGTGATTCCCCCGGCTCATGTATACATACTTGCACTAGTTTGATGCGAGCTAGCATGAGTGTAAATAGCAGTGTAGTTGCAGTAACATGGGTAGCAGCAGCAGTAGAGTCAAGGTTGAGATGTACTGAGTATAATCCCACCTGAAACCAGTGGGTACATACTTGGCACAGCTCAGCCATGCCTTCACTGCCGTTACCTATGCTATCACAACAGTGCTATTTAAGTTCATGCTAACTCTCACAGAGCTAGCACAGGTATGTGTACTTGAGCCTATAATTTAATGGTTTAGTTTTCATTAGATGTGATAGCTTGGTAGACCAAGATATTTTAATGTTAAGAGATATGAATAGAATGTTGCAAAGACATAAATTACAATAAAACATGACAGACTGACAAAAATGAGTTCTGTATCAATACAGAACAAAGAAGAAATTGTTGAAGTTTCTTTATTAAAGTCTGCATAACCTATGAATGCTAACCAAATACAAAGTCATGTGGTTTTGTTTATTTTTTAATTCAGGCTGATATCTAGGGTATTTTTTTCATGGCGAAACATGTTTCTTACTGGGGGAAAAGGAAAAATATCTTCTGTAGAAAACTTGTGAAGCCTATCTGTGCACTTGCACCAATTCTATACAATCTTTATAGCTACAAGTAAGATTTATGTAAAGTTTGTGGTTAAGTTCATTAAAATGGGATTTTCTAATGCACTCAGTGTAGGCCTAACTCTGCTTTCATTGAAGTCAATGGGAGTTTCACCACTGAAATAATGCTCTAATTGAAACCAATGCTGAACAGCTTCTGAAAATCCTACCCTTAAGCAAATATATACATAGAGCTTAACTCTGAGTGCCTTCAGCTCCCATTTAACTTAGTGGGAGCTGAGGGCACTCAGCACCTCACAAGATCAGCCCAATAGACAACTATGACTGCTTCAACTGCCTTCAAGTACTTATTTTTCACATCCTCTTCTTCCCTTTTCTTAATATATTTTATGCATACATAGCTACTGAAGAGGAGCTTCTTGAGCCAGCTATTTTGCATCCTGAATGCTTTTCTACAATACTCACCTCCTTCAGGATAATGAGATGGTGCTGAATAAAAGTCAAGCTTATCCTTAAGGTCCTCTTCATTCTCTTTTTCCCACTGCAAGCCTATCCTCTTCCAATAACTCACAGCCAGTTGCCTAAAGTGTAAAACCAAAGTGTTTGAACCACCATCTTTACATACATACAGAACGAAAGCATTTTTAAATGAGAGATGGAAAATGAGAAGCCCCTCTACACTCAGCTGGAAGACTTCTTTGAATACACTGGGACAAACACTAACTTCAGATACTTTTATGCTACTGTAATGGCTAGAAGCTTTTTTTTTTTTTAAATGAAGCTTAAGTTCTACAGAAATAAACAATGTGGATCTCAACTAGCTGGGGAAAAAAACCCTTTTGTTTTGAGAAGAATACAACCTCCTCTACCCTTTTTATAATCACACTTATTTGAATGCAGCACTAACAAAAAAAAATTACTGAAGAGTTGTGTATAGAAATAAGCAAATCAGCTAAATAGAAGAGCAGGACATTTTCCTGAACTCCTACCTGAGCGTAGAAGCACTTTAATACAAGTTATCTATAAAAACTGGATCCTTTGTTCTGCTTACTTGTTCTCAGGCATTTCATCAGTAAAGCTGCTGAGTAATAAAGGAATCAACTTGTGAAAGTAAGAATATCTATCCCGCAGGTGCAATAGCCATTCTCCAACAACACTTGTAACTGCTTGCCGAACCTTGGAAGGTGAAAGAAACAACACACTGCAAATTTAACTACAGTCCCATAACTTGAAGGGAAAAACTCTGAAAACAAAAACCTTAGAGTAAACTTTAGCAAAGTGTCTAGAAGAGCCATTTATCCAATGTATTTACAAAAACAATAAAAAACAGAAATAATGAACTTTTATACATGACAAGTAAGCTTTGCGGGGAAAAAAATCAGGCAAACTACGGTAGTAGACTGCCTACATTTCCTGCCTACATGTCCTGATCATCATTATCTTAGCTCATCATTACCTGAAGTACAGCCCCAACATAGGATATGTCTTCACTAGCAACGTTAAAGTGCTGCCGTGGCCACTTTACAGGGCTGAAACTTGCAGCACTCAGGGGTGTGTTTTTTCACACCCCTGAGCGAGAAAGTTGCAGCGCTGTAAAGTGGCAGTGCAGACTAGGCCATACAGTATTTCCATTTAAATGGTAGATAAAGTCCAACTCATTCTAAATCACAGTAGTACTTAGAGGGAGTACATTATGAAATTAGGTAAAAACATGGCACCCTCTACTAATAAAAAAATATTTTAAAAAAATCATATCCTTCATTTATACAGCACATTTTAAGCAAGGCTCTCAAAGCCTAACACATGTGATGTAGATATGGTAAAATCTAGATTTTATGAAACTCCATTTAACCTAAAATGCTTGTGTTCCCCCATCCTGAGATAACATTCTTCACAGGCACTCAGTCCTGCTAGATGGCCAATCCAGCAAGTACCGTATATACTAATTCATAAGCCGAATATTTTTGGTAAAAACATGACGCATCAAAGAGCGGAGGTCATCTTATAAACGGGTCTACAGCAAAATTTGATGATTTTAAACTCTATGGAATCATTGAATTGAATATCTAACATACTGTCATTTTGTTTACTTGGAACATTTGCAGGCATGGAGCCCCTCAGCTCCCTGTGTCCACGGTTCGCCATTCCACAGGGAGCTGAGGGGCTCCATGCTTGCAGACGCTCCAGGTAAACAAAACGTCCTGACCCATCAGCAGCTTACCCTAACAGGCTGGGAGCCAAAGTTTTCCAATCCCTGAAATATATGGTCGGCTTATGAAAGGGTCATACAGTTTTTGCTATTTTTACCTATCCATTTTGGGTGGTCGGCTTATAAACGAACGGGCTAATGAACGAGTATATACGGTAATTTAAGGGTGTGCTTAACTTTATGTATATGAATAATCCCATTAAAAGTCAATGGAACCAATCATATGCTTAAATATTTACATATGTGTTTTGCTGGAACAGTCCGGAGTGCTCAGTCCCTTGCTGGATCAAGCCCTAAGAGGGCAGGGAGAACATAAATGCTATCATTCAACTCTGTCAACAAACACTTTAGATTTTCTGGTTTACATGGTCTTCAAATATCCTATCTGGTAAATACTACTGTGCTGAAGGATTATTGCAAATCCTTTTGATATTACAAAGATTTCTGTCCACCTCCTGAAAGACCTTCATAAAACAAAACAAAAAGAGTTCTCTTCAATTATACACATATTACTGAGGGACAAAAGAGCTAAAGGACTAGATTTTTAGAAATATTTAGGCACCTAACTCCCATAAAATCTGGTCCTAAGTGACTTCTTCAAAGTTATGTAGCTAGGAGTAGCACAGACTGGAACACAATCCAGAACTTCTGATACTAGACTGCACATCCTTCCCCCAAAAGTTGAGTATTACAGCTTTATTTACAAGAACATGCCATTCTCCCTCATTTTTGAGGATCCCTCCTTGGTGGCTAATTTTTACTTGGTCAACTTTATACATTAATATACAAATACTTATATTCAGCTGAAGCCGAAAATCTTAATGAAGCTACGAACACAATTTTGCTGGTGTTAAGAAGTGAACAGATATTTTATTACATTATTTTTACCCCTAGAAATATGTTAATGAAGGCAGGGGCAAAATCTAGACAAAAGAAAGTAGAGTTACCTGAGGAATCTCATCAAAAAGTCGCTGGGCCAGATGAGAGAGAACATCATCTACAGACTTTCCGTTGCCAAACTGTATCACCGTTCCTGTGGCCTGAATCACAGCAACACGGACTCGGAAGTGCTGGTGTGAAACTGTTTGCATTAAGGGTTTTATCAAAAATTCTGACTGCATATGAAAGTGTTCTGTTAGAGGAGAAAGAGAGAAAGCTCAGCTCTGTCTTCGTATGTATGCATACAGCAGACCTTATGCAAACATGCATTTATGTAGCACCTTCTGGACATGGATCTGATTGATATCACTATGTTTATGTATATATATATGGTCTCATTTGGCATAGTGTGTTAGACTGGGATAACAACACATTTGTGTCTCTGCCACTATCATCCCAGTCCCATGACCATCCCAGCACCCTCCTCCTGCTGCAGCTTGTTCCCTGTAATTCTGATCCCATTCTTTCTACCCTGCCCTATACTCCCCCATCCCCAGTTAGGATGGCCAGAGCAGCACTGTCCACATACCTGCAACTCCTTCAGCCAGGTGCCCGGCACCCTGAGTTCCACCCCCCAATTCATCCTCTTCATCCTCAGGGCCACTAACAATGCTCCTGCAGATCCCTCATCCTCCCTGGCTTCCTCCACCATCTCTCTCCTCCCCAGCCACTAACCCCGAGCACAGGACCCTGTGCACCTGCAGCTCGCAGGCCACTCCAGGCCCCCTGGCTCCCTTCCCCGGGTCCCACCTGGCATAGCCCTGGCGCTGGCGGCCGCACACCTGCAGCTTTCACGCTTGACCTCGGGGTAGGGGTCGAGGAGGGTGGCCTGCAGGATGCGGATGATCTCGGGCAGGTAGGTGGGCAGGTCGGCCTCGCAGAGCTCCAGCAGGAGGCTCAGGAGCTGGATCAGGGCCAGGCGCAGCTCCTCGCAGGGCTCGTGCGATTGCCCCTGCGGGGAGCAGAGGCGCTGGGCCAGGGCCGGCAGCAAGCAGGGCAGGGCCTCAGCGGGCCGGGCGCCGTGGCTCAGGCCGTGGCAGGTGAGCTGGACGGCCAGCTCCCGGCAGCGCTCGGCCGGATCCCCCACCAGGCACCGCACCAGCGGCCGCAGCAGTTGCTTGGCGAAGACCTCCTGCAGCACCAGGGCCGAGAGCGGCCGCTCCTGCACCTCGGCCCGGATGGCCCGCAGAGCCCGCAGCCGCGCATCCCGGCCGGGCTCCTGCAGGCCGCCCAGGTGCCGGCCCAGCGCCTTGACCACGTCCGCGGCCCGGGGTTGGTCACCCAGAGCCCCGTCCTCGGCCATGCTGGATCGTCGCTAGGGAGGCTCGGGCCGCTCGCTGCGGCCCGTTACTAAGGACTCTGCTCGTCTAGCGGCCGCTTTCACGGCAGTAAACAAATGCTTTACGGCAATTTCAACATGCAAGAAACTTTATTGGCAGGGGGCTCTGCCGGACACTGACACTAAGACTGGGGTGGGTCTCACCCAGCAAACCGCTCCAGCGCCGCAGAGACAGTTTGAGGGAGTGATACGGGGTTATAGAGGGAGTATGGGTCAGTGGTTAAAGTGCACAGCAGGGAGCCAGCACTGCTGGGTTTAATTCCTATGGGGCCTTGGGCAAGTCATTCTACAGCTTCCCGGCCTCAGTTTCCCCATGTGTTAGCTGGCGCTAACAGTGTTTGCAGTGCAGTTGATGACCCTGATGCGGTGCAGCACAAAGGCTGCCCCTTAGCTAGGGTTGCCAGCCCTCTGGGATTGGCCTGGAGACTCTTGGAATTGGCATTGATCTCCTGGTGACTATTGAAAGCAATCCAGGAGATTTTAATAGGATATTTTAAGAAAATGATATTATGTCATGGGAGGAATCTCCCGGAATAGCTTCAGTCAGAGCTGGCAACCCTACCCTTAGCTGGTGCCTAATATTCAGTCTCCTGGGTGAAGGGCTTGCTTTGTGTTAGCATACACCACTAATCAGAGTGAAACACTGATTGCGTAGCTTAAGTAAATGTTGTAGGGTACAGTTCCTTAAAAGTAAGCATCTGAGAATTAAAAAAGCCAAAGCTCAGTCCTTTGCTTGTTCATATAATTACCCTATCTTTAGATGGAAGGTACTATCAAAGTGCAGAGTATCATTACACCAGTGTATTGATATTAATCCGCAAAATAACTGCATCACCCATATCCTGAAAGGGGATTGCTGCTTTAAATGTTAAAAAGGACCCCAAAGGAACTTTTGGAGACTTGTGAAACTTTGCAAGGTGATGTTGACGAATGTCAAAGCTTTTAAAATTGCTTACTAATTGTTGGCTCCAATCCTGTGATTAGACCCGTGGGGGGTGATTCAAGTGCAGGTTCAGGGCCTTTTTTTGTAGTGTTGTACAGCAATGCTTGCACAGTGCTTTGAAGATGTAAAGTGCTAATTAAAGGTGAAGGCTACATGCTTCAGAAATTGAGTGTGTCACAATAGATATCTAAATCCCCATAATCTCGCAGAGATCTGGCCTTCCTCCAATCACTCGCTGCATTCAAAAGCAGCATTGCATGCTCTTTGGCCATGTCACCAGCATGGACAAAAATACCCCAGCACGCTGCTCTCAGACTCTACATGAGAGGTCGGCAACGTTTGGCACGCGGCTGCCACGGTAAGCACCCTAGCGGGCCGGGCCAGTTTATTTACCTGCTGACGTGGCAGGTTCGGCCAATCGCGGCCCCCACTCGCCGCGGTTCGCCGTCCCGGGCCAATGGGGGCGGCGGGAAGCGGCGCGGGCCAAGGGATGTGCTGGCCGCGGCTTCCTGCCGCCCCCATTGGCCTGGGACGGCGAACTGCAGCCAGTGGGGGCCGCGATCGGCCAAACCTGCCGTGTCAGCAGGTAAATAAACTGGCCCGGCTCGCTAGAGTGCTTACCCTGGCGAGCCGCGTGCCAAACGTTGCCGACCCCTGCTCTACATTGATGTGCGAAGGATGCATGCCTTGACCCTACCTGGCATCACCCGTGAGGCTGTCCCAGAGATTTCTGGATTGAGCTCTGACTATTGAAGCATGAAACATTGGGGAAATGTTTATACTGGCTCAATCAGGGGCTGCCCAAACTTTGCCCAGTCAAGGGGCTGCATTGGCAACTTGCTGGGATTAGTGGGAGGCATCTCATTTGTATGATATCAAACAGATTGGGATATATTCACACTGCCCCATCCTCCATGCAGACTCCCAACAAATCTCCATGGTCCCTATGCATCTCTCTCATTTGACCTATTAATATCCACTTTGTGGTGGCATTACAGTAAAACTACAATTGGGCCACAGTCCTGCAGTTTGTTGCTGACCAGCAGACCTCTGCACCTGTCTTGAGCCCCATTCACTACCACAGGACTCTGCACAGATGTAGGGATCCACCCACGCACAACGGCTTGCGGGCCAGGAGCAAAGACTGTAATGTAAAGGGATAATGGTTTCAATGTATGACTTGATTTTAAAGCCAGGGCAAAGGTGTGGCTTACTGAGGCAATCATCAGTATACAAAGACAAGAAGCACAAAGTGCAGTTAGGAGTTCGTATAGTCAACTGGCACAGTAAGACTTATTTCATTGCGCATTCTTGGGATGCTGACAATTTGGCTTAGTTTGAAAATCCAGCAAACAGGCAGCATGAAGTGGATTCAGACCCCCAGGAAAGCCGAATTTCCAGACAAAATGCCTTACACAAACCATTAGAAAGCATCACAAAAAAGCCACTGTAAAGTGCATTGACACAACGACAGCACAGGTTATTGGGACTGCAATGCTTTGAGGTGAGTATAAGGTACTGCCCAGGAAAGTCACAACAGAGATGGCTCTGGGGAATAGGACAGTTTCTTTCTGAGGCCCCCCCAACATGCTATAGAAACTCCATGGCCCCGCTGTAACTGCTTTTCTGCATATAAAAGCCAGGGCCAGCATTAGGGGGTAGCAAGCAGGGCAGTTGCCCAGGGCCCCACGCCACAGGGGGCATCGTGAAGCTAAGTTGCTCAGGCTTCGGCTTTAGCCCCGGGTGGTGGGGCTTGGGGCTCCAGACTGCAGTCCTGCACAGCAGGACTTTGGCTTTCTGTCCTCAGCCTTAGCAAGTCTCACACCAGCCATGCTTGACGGACCCCCTGAAACCTGCTTGCGCCCTCCCCCAGGGGGCCCCGGATTCCTGGTGGGGGACGACTGGAATAGGAGATAGTCTATCATCATGCTACAATACTTTTGCATATCTGGTGGGAGGCTCCAGGCAATCCACCACCAAAGCATTGAACAGGATGGGATGCTACCGGGAGTAAAACAATACTTCAAGGGTGGCCAGATTGCAAGGCGGAAGAGCCACAGGAGGTTACCCTCTATCACTGGGAAAGGATGAGGTATGTGTGCAAGATGGGATTTTGCTTAAAGGGGACAAAGCAGTAAACCCAGCAGATTTAAGACCTAACATCATGAGACAGATACATAATACACTCTTGGATATTAAGCATGCCTGAGATGAACCCAGCAGTGGAGCTACTGGCCAGGCATGAATGGCTATGGAACAGTGCGAGCTGTGCAGAGTGTAGTGATCAACAACAGAAGGAGAGTACATACAGCCTAACCTGATCCTGAGAAAAGGCCAGAACAGTCCTGTCTGTGTAGAGGATAAAATTTTCAAAAGTGCCCAAGTCACTTAGTGACTTTCAATGGGACTTTGGCTCCTTAGATACTTATGAAAATGTTACCTTTAGTCTTTTAATTGTGTCTATCCCATACTCTAGGCACATTACACACATTCAAAAAATAAACATTTACAAAATGCATCAAATGAATCAGAGACCATAGGATCTGCCCTATTAGGTAAGAACAGTTGTCCATCTAGTGTATTATCTGTTTCTAACAGTAGCCATTACCAGATGCTTCTAAAAGAGTTGCATGATATCCCATAGTGAACAGTTATGGAATAACTGGCCCATAAGGAAAAACAACAAAAACACTTCATCAGATGCATGGAGTGGAAAATACAGGAGCAGGTATAAATACATGAAAAGATGTGAGTTCAGTTTGCAAATTAACTCCAGTTCTGCAGACACCATCAGATTAGGCCTGAATAAAGACTGGGAGTGGTTGGGTCATTACAAAACCCAAACCTAATTTTCCCCAATACTAATTTCCCCCTACTGTTACTCACACCTTCTTGTCAACTCTCTGAAATGGGCCACTCTCATTACCACTTCAAAAGTTATTTTTCCTCCCTTGGTAGCCTGCTGTCAATTGAATTATCTCATTAGACTGACCTCACACTTGGTAAGGCAACTCACATCTTTTCATGTATTTATACCTGCTCCTGTATTAGTGTCTCTTTCATTCTTTATGCAGCATAGTGCTTGTCTGACCACTTCTGTGCATTGGGAAGATGTGTGACTGGTATGAACCAGATACCAAAGTATCTGAGTGGTTGCAGTTAATTTAGAACCTAGCAATTTTTATGAGTAATTCAAATTACTGAATTTCATCTGCCATTATGCTGCTCATTTGCCTAGCTTGCTTAGGACTCTCTGGAGTTTTTTAGAGTCTTGCCTACTATTGACTAGCCTAAATAATGTTGTGTTATCTGCCAGTTTTGCCACTTAATTGTTGTCCCCTTTTTCTAAACCATTAATGGGTTTATTAAACACCAGCTGTCCTAGTTTATATCCTTGAGATATCCTCTTATTACCCTTTTACCCTGTGATTATTGAGGGTATGTCTATACTGGGAAAATGGAGGTGTGTTAGAAAAAGTGTTATCTCACATTGCATGTTAACACCACTTACTGCCATCCATTGTGGACAAAACACATTAGCTGACTGTGGCTAAGCCTCCATCACAGCTTCCTTTCACCCCAAATTAATTGCCCTTCCCCACACCCCCCAAAAAGCCTGGGAGAATAGGCTGCATGTCCTGAAGGTTACCAAATCTGGTCTTTGGAGACAGAGCTTTCTCAGGGTCTGGTTTGAGAGACTGGAATTAACTCCCCCTGGGAATTGAGGACCATCACAAACATTCCCACCTTCTGTTCCAAGTGCAAGACACACTTTTCTGACACTGCAACTACATAGCAGCACATATATTTAAAAGACCAAAACAAAGCCCTACCCAAACAAAATCCTATTGTGACCGATGAACCCTTCACTGTCAGCTGGCAAGATTTCTGGTATGTACATTCTGGTTCAACAAAATATGGCATGTGAAGTCTTAAAGAAAAGCCAGAATCACAATGATCATTAATATCATTGTGAAATGTATGTATCGATACTATGCAAGGAGTTATGTATGTCTACTGAAAATTTGCTTTAAAGTGTGTATCAAGGCAGAGTTGACAAACTGGCTTTCTGTCATGCAAAAGAGGTT